ATGTTTCAGTCAGTGGGTCTCTCTTCTCTGGCACTAGATTCCTGGATCAAGCAAAAAAATTATTAGCTGGCGGTGGTCCTGGAGTTGAGAGAGAACTTGGGTAAATACAATGGCGCAATTACACTTGACATGTGGACTGACGATTTTAGAAAAACAGGGACGGTGGGCTTTTGGTTTCTCTCCCTCTAAAAACAGAAATAATTCTAAATAACAAACTGGCTTTATTTACCACAGTGTGAAAGAGTGATATCCCCTCTATATAAAGTGAGTTTCTGAAACACAGAGTCCTTCTTTGCTGATGTGAAGAAGAAACGGAATGAAAGAGAGTCCAGCGAGGATAGGTTAGGGGAAAAAGGTTGCCCATATTTTCAAGACCTGAGCTACTTCATTTGTTTATGAAATGTACACTACATTGACTGGTACTGTACATTCACACCTCCGTTAATTTACAAAAGGAGAGTGTAATAGCTCGGCTAGGTGTGAAAAATCCCCAGTTTGTAGGTTTGTATATTGCTATGTTTTCATTTATAAAGCCCTTTACAAAAAGTCCCACTGTACCTAACATCATTACTAAATTTTAGACAGGAGTTACCACACCCGTGTCAGGGATGGCAAACTCTGGAAATTCCTTTGGTTGCTACTGAGTTAGGTAAATCAGCTTTTAGTTTTCTTGCACCTTATTTGTGGAACAATCTTCAAAATTATCTTAAATGTGATATTTTGGTGCCTCTAGGGCAATTCAGAAAGCTGATTGAGGACCATATTACTGATGAATGTGTGTTTTGTATTTATATTTGGATGTGTGTATTTTCTGTAATTTATGTACTTCAGGGCTCATCTGTAAAATAGACCTTGATTTCAGTATGACTCCCTGATAAAATAAAGGTTAAATCAAAAACTACAATTATTCCAGAGGAAGATTTGCACAGGATTCATTTTTCCAAACTGACCCCTGTAATTCTTGTTTATTGTTTTGAGTCTATGACGGAAGCCTGGTGAAGATATTTCAACATCATGTCTAGACGATGAAAGGCTACAATGATCACTCGTGCTTGGCTGACAAATGTATAGTAGTCCCAATAAGTATAATATTTAAATGGAGAAAATGTGATCATAATCATTATTTTAGCGATCCACGTTAGATATCCCTCTTAATGAAAAGGACCCCATCTTTAACTTAGTCCTGCATGTTGGAGCTCGGTGCCTAAGATTTTCATTGTACCCTGCAATCACACCTGCAACCCATCCCGGAGGACCTGAGCCCTAGGACCATGCCACAGGACTACCTGGCCTGATGACTCCTTGCTGTCCCCAGTCCACCTGGTCGTGCTGCTGCTCCAGTTTCCACTCTTCTGCCTGCGGCTATGGAACCCTGACCTGTTCACCGGACGTGCTACCTAGTCCCAGACCTGCTGTTTTCAACTCTCTCTCTCTACCGCAACTGCTATTTCAACCTCTAAATGCCGGCTATGAAAAGCCAAGTGACATTTACTTCTGATGTACTGACCTGTTGCAACCTCTACAACCACTGTGATTATTATTTGACCCTGCTGGTCATCTATGAACGTTTGAACATCTTTGAGAAAAATCTGGCCTTAATGGCCATGTACTGTTATAATCTCCACCCGGCACAGCCAGAAGGGAACTGGGCACCCCTCAAAGCCTGGTTCCTCTCTAGGTTTCTTCCTAGGTTTCTGCCTTTCTAGGGAGTTTTTCCTAGCAACCGTGCTTCTACATCTGCATTGCTTGCTGTTTGGGGTTTTAGGCTGGGTTTCTGTATAGCACTTTGTGACATCTGCTGATGTAAAAAGGGCTTTATAAATACAATTTGATTGATTGATTGTACATGTGACTATTAAACACTGAATCTGATATGCATTTATGGGTGAGAAAGTGAACTTGCCATTTCCAAAAATGAGTTCAGTGGGGAATGGGTATTGCCTGCTTTGCGATCTGATGCCTACATCAACATCCAGGGTTTCATTAAATAGGCATAGGCACTATACCTTTTTATTGCACATTTAACTAAACTGAGGCATTTGGCAAAGTTCAACTTCAATTCATTGGCACAAAACGTGCTTCAGACAAAAATATGTTTTTGTCTCTGGCTTGCATAGCACAGGTGGTGGTCGCCTTCACTGTAGTATGCCAGCCTAATATGTAGGCTAGCATACAAATGGTGCATTAATAGTCCAGCCTATGAATTAATTTATAATTTACACATCTCTGTCTTCACTGTTTCATTCTTGCTCAATTCATGCATCTCTGCTGGCAGCTCCACTGGCTGCTCTCTCCTCCATCCTCTCTGTATTCCGTTTATAGCTCTTGAACCAGTAGCCTAGCCCAATGCATGTCCCAGAAGTAGCAATATAGTTTGGTCACTTATTTTGAGCAATTAAAAGTATATATATATATATATATATATATATATATATATATATATTCCAGGAAAGAAGTACCTTGCTCTTGCTTGATGGATATAAAATAGGCTACAGCTTTCAAAATGAACTGGCGGGAAAGTTTGATTGTGATCACATTGGCTGGTGGTAAAAATACAATAAACGTGAATCCTCTTTTCTCCCTCGCCCAATGTTTATGTTTACAATTACATGTATTACATCAGAATGCCCAATGTTAGAATGTTTCTAATCAAATGTATGAATTAAACTTTAGAACGTTTTCCCTATCAATCTAATTTGCATAAACATTGTAATTGGATGATAGCTGTGCGGGTTATCAAATCAGGATCAAATCCTCTGATCTCCTCGAGCTCATTAATGATAGAATGTTCATATTTGAGGATTGCGGAAAGGCAAGTCTCTTTAGCAATGACAAGGAGTGGCAATGAGTGGAACGTTCGCTAAAGAGACTGGTACCCAGGTTAGCCATTTTGTTGATGAGACTAAACAAGACCACTGTGAAGCAGGCAAGAATAACTAAGTACTTCCAGGTCACAGATTTTTTGAATCCTTCAGAATAAAAGTCCCATCCTGTATACATTGTAAATGAATACTTCGGGTGAAAATGATGGAAAATGTGCACAATTATCAATATTTTATAGTAGTTATCATACAGAGAATAATTACAAGTATTTCTATGAGATATTATGTCTTTCATATGCTTATTTTTAATTTTTCAAGCATAAATGGTCAACATGGGTTTTTACGTTCGTACTCCTATCATTTATTGCACTGAACAAAATTATCTCTGAACGTTGTCGCAGAAAAAGGGGGGTCCATTCTACTCAGGACCACTTCTAGTTTCCAAATCCACAGAGTTTACACCCAGTGGAGCGTCGCTGCTCATTTGGCGGCCCTTATAGAGTGGCCCATCAACTTAAATCTAATAGTTTTTTCATATTGGACATATTGCACCTTACACATTCGGGTCCATTTTACTGCAACACAATGTACAGAAAATTGTGTATGGTGCAATATGTATGTCTGATATGAAATATGCCCGCAAAATGAGTAGCGACACTGCTTGGGGTGTAAACTCCGTGGATTTGGAAACTATTAAGTGCTCCTGAGTGGAATGGACCCCCCTCTAAAGTTTATTATTATTATTATAATATTATTATTAATATTGTTATTATTATTATTATTATTATTATTATTAATGGTAGCATTATAGATAATGTTTTGTTATTTGTATTACTGTTGTTACAATGATAACTATCTGGTAATCATTACTTTTAATCAAATCAAATCAAATCAAATTTTATTGGCCACATGCGCCGAATACAACAGGTTACAGTGAAATGCTTACTTACAGCCCTTAACCAACAGTGCATTTATTTTTAATAAAAAAGTAAAATAAAACAACAACAAAAAAGTGTTGAGAAAAAAAGAGCAGAAGTTAAATAAAATAACAGTAGGGAGGCTATATATACAGGGGGGTACCGGTGCAGAGTCAATGTGCGGGGGAACCGGCTAGTTGAGGTAGTTGAAGTAATATGTACATGTGGGTAGAGTTAAAGTGACTATGCATAAATAATTAACAGAGTAGCAGCAGCGTAAAAAGATGGGGTGGGGGGCAGTGCAAATAGTCCGGGTAGCCATGATTAGCTGTTCAGGAGTCTTATGGCTTGGGGGTAGAAGCTGATGAGAAGTCTTTTGGACCTAGACTTTGCACTCCGGTACCGCTTGCCGTGCGGTAGCAGAGAGAACAGTCTATGGCTAGGGTGGCTGGAGTCTTTGACAATTTTGAGGGCCTTCCTCTGACACTGCCTGGTATAGAGGTCCTGGATGGCAGGAAGCTTGGCCCCAGTGATGTACTGGGCCGTACGCACTACCCTCTGTAGTGCCTTGCGGTCGGAGGCCAAGCAGTTGCCATACCAGGCGGTGATGCAACCAGTCAGGATGCTCTTGATGGTGCAGCTGTATAATTTTTTGAGGATCTGAGGACCCATGCCAAATCTTTTCAGTCTCCTGAGGGGGAATAGGCTTTGTCGTGCCGTCTTCACGACTGTCTTGGTGTGTTTGGACCATGATAGTTAGTTGGTGATGTGGACACCAAGGAACTTGAAGCTCTCAACCTGTTCCACTACAGCCCCGTCGATGAGAATGGGGGCGTGCTCAGTCCTCTTTTTTTTCCTGTAGTCCACAATCATCTCCTTTGTCTTGGTCACGTTGAGGGAGAGGTTGTTATCCTAGCACCACACGGCCAGGTCTCTGACCTCCTCCCTATAGGCTGTCTCATCGTTGTCTGTGATCAGGCCTACCACTGTTGTGTTGTCGGCAAACTTAATGATGGTGTTGGAGTCGTGACTGGCCATGCAGTCATGGGTGAACAGGGAGTACAGGAGGGGACTGAGCATGATGTTAACAATAATGTCAATGCTATAATGTTATTTGTGCTATAAAGGCGATTAACTATTCATTTTTTTATATTGTTAAACAACCTTCTGTCTGCTAACATTTCCTCATAAAATTTTACGAATTTCGACCGTTTGTATTATTTTTCACAATCTTCATTGCGGTACTTTTATTTAGAAGGAAAATCGCCGAGGTCACGGCCTGATTCTTGCTTATTCTTGCTGGCGGCACGGAGGTCAAAGCAATCCGCGACAATACTAGCTGCAGCCGTTGTTTTGAAGTACACCTGTTTATTTTTTACTACGACTTCGGTTTTTAATAATTGAAGACATCATCGAACTTCAATGTCAGATTTCGACCACAACCCGTTCGCGGACCCTGAATTCAATAACCCTTTTCAGGTAGGTGAAATACTCACCGGTCTGTCATTTGGCTATGCTAATTGTTTAGCCTGATTATGATAGCTAGCTAGCTATATAAGCTCTATTGAATTCAATTTAGCTTGCTAAGCTAAGCTAAATAGCTTTCTAGCGATAGCAGTGTCACGTCGTTTCCCCTGGCATGACACTGACAGCACAGCAGCAGTAACGTCAGCTAGCTAGCTGCAACACTTTATAGCAAACGTTTAACATTAGCCTAAGTCGAAAATATATTGTCATCTTCAACCTAGACGTTAACAGTAGCTAGCAATTCGTTCTTTTGAACAAAGATAAAGTTGTATCAGGCAATTATTTACAAACGATATTAGCTAGTACAGTAAGCTAGCTAGTTAGATGATTTAGCGTATTCTTGTAATGTGTGATGTTATCGGTGTCAGTATGCTGGCTGCTACATCTAGCTAGCTAACGTTAACTAGCTTAAGACTTGCCACCCATCTATTGTGGTGCGTCTTCTCCTGAAGTGTTTAGCTCTGCTAGACAGGTAGCGTATATGGTCTGACGTCACACACACACTTAGTTCTGTTCTGTGGCCTCATCTCATGATGATTCATTAAATACTTGTGAGTTATTCATTGAGGACAACTCATTGATGTTGGTAGGCAGCCAGCCTACTAGTGTCTAACGTTACACATGACAGCAGTGTTACAGACATGGTGGACATGACAGCAGTGGTACAGACTTCATCAGGCAAAAGTGTTACTTGGATTAGACTGTGTGTAGCATTAACAATTTTTTATGTTATGGGAAACAATGTACCTTTTATATATGTCCAAAATACGCCCTTTCACAACTGACACAATGTAGGTTAATCTTCAATGGCCACACGCTGATGTTTACTAATGTAAAGTCTGCAGAGTTGAAGTCTGAGCACAACCCACATGCTATGGAAACGTGTGTGTGATGTATTTAGAAGAAGAGGGGGTGAATGGGAGCACTGTGGGGGCGCCTTTTGTTGTCAGTGATTCTGGGAATGATAATCCCACTCTTTGGGGGTATCCATCGGCTCAGCTAGCTTTGGACACAACATTGGGAGTGTGTATTGGTTGGACTCCCTGAGTTGGGCATCGTTCTGGTGGTTGGCGACAGACAATAACCATACCACAATATAACTGACTTCACCAAAAAAAAACGTTTCCTGTCAACAAAAGCATATGTATAAATTCTAGGAACTCTACTTATCAGACTTAAAGTGAAATGTGTCCCTCACTATCAAATAAACATCTGAATCCAACTTTTGTCCAAAACGCACCATATTCCTGCTGTGTAAACAGTGGTAGATTTTGTGCTAGGAAGTCTCACATGAAGTGCGTGGTCTAATGGCAGCCCGCTGTCTAACTTGGTATGAATATGGTGCGATTCGGACAAAAGTTGGATTCTAATGTTTATTTGATAGCTAGGGACACAGTTCACTTCATGTCTGGTAAGTATAGTTCCTAGAGATTATACATATGCTTTTGTTGACAGGACATGTTATTTTGGTGAAGCCAGCTATATTGTGGTATGGTTATTTTCCGTCGCCAACCACCAGAATGATGTACAACTCAGGGAGTCCAACCAATAGACTCCCAATGTTGTGTCCCAAAGATAGCTCAACTGTTGACTTGGAATTCAATCACCACATTGTGATTGACTGGTGGAATACTCTATTCCAGCCAATAGTTTGTCGTTTTATCAAAACAACATGATATGATGGATGCCTACAGTCATTTGATGTGCTGCTGTGCTGTCATAATGTCACATCATATTCTGTGACCCCACCACATTTGCTTTCCAGGAATTCTGCATTGATACCTGCTACTGTGGTGGTTGTAAGATGAGATGTTGCATTGCTTTCATTATGATAATGGTAGCTTATTACTTAGATCTGTAGACTGTCTTTGTAGAAGTGTCTCACCAGGGAGAAACTGGGTATTTGATCCTCACAGCACATCTTACTCTATTTGCTTGGTAAACAGGACCTGCTTTATATTGTTTGCTTAGGCTGCTTCCTAGCTAAGTAAAACTCAACTCCATGATGTAGCCAACTTCATATCAACGGAGTTGAGCGGCGACTAGTGTGGGCGGACTGGAGCTCGCGACATCTCATAAGGACATTTACCCGTGTAATTGCGTGCTATTCTTTGGGTGCTGAAATCTGTAGTTTTTGATAAAAACTTCATTTTATGTGACGTTGCGCGCTCCAGTCCGCCCACACTAGGGTGCCGCTCAACTCCGTTGATGAGAAGTAGGCCTGCATCGCGGAGTTGAGTTTTACTTGGTTAGGTTACTTCCCAGGCTAGTTGTTGTACCTTGTTTTAGACACAAACCTCTTTCTTCCTTCCTTCTTTTATCACTTTCTCTCTCGCTCTCTTTCTCTCTCTTTCAATTAAATTATAGTTTACTCACTGCCACGGTTGCTTGCTCTGACGCGCGCGCACACACACACACTTACTTGCCCTTTGTGGTCCTTTAATCATTGCTTTGTCACTCCTTGAAGCAGCAGAGTTGCCCTCATTAAATTCTGTCCCCTCCTTGTTGTTTGGATGATGTGGCTTCGGCTGTAGGTTGATGCTTAGGCCTATGTATAAGGATAATTGATCGTAAGCATGGTTTTATTGTTAGTGAAGGAATGAATGGTGTACTTCCCACAGCTAACTGTGCTCTATAGAAATGTGTGTGTAACTCAACACGAGTTGTGGAGTGGTGTGCTGACCACAGCGCCACATAAACAGTCTTATTTATTGGGCTATACACGATTAGGCCCTCTATGCATTTCTCTGCTCTCACATATTGCTGCAGATTGTGGACCCCAGGAAGAGTAGCTGCTGCTATTGCAACAGCTAATGGGGATCCGAATGAAGGAAGAAAAAAAAAATATATATATATATCTGTGGGTGTATGTACAGTGGGGAGAACAAGTATTTGATACACTGCCGATTTTGCAGGTTTTCCTACTTACAAAGCATGTAGAGGTCTGTACTTTTTATCATAGGTACACTTCAACTGTGAGAGACGGAATCTAAAACAAAAATCCAGAAAATCACATTGTATGATTTTTAAGTAATTCATTTGCATTTTATTGCATGACATAAGTATTTGATACATCAGAAAAGCAGAACTTAATATTTGGTACAGAAACCTTTGTTTGCAATTACAGAGATCATACGTTTCCTGTAGGTCTTGACCAGGTTTGCACACACTGCAGCAGGGATTTTGACCCACTCCTCCATACAGACCTTCTCCAGATCCTTCAGGTTTCGGGGCTGTCGCTGGGCAATATGGACTTTCAGCTCCCTCCAAAAAGTTTCTATTGGGTTCAGGTCTGGAAACTGGCTAGGCCACTCCAGAACCTTGAGATGCTTCTTACGGAGCCACTCCTTAGTTGCCCTGGCTGTGTGTTTCGGGTCGTTGTCATGCTGAAAGACCCAGCCACGACCCATCTTCAATGCTCTTACTGAGGGAAAGAGGTTGTTGGCCAAGATCTCGCGATACATGGCCCCATCCATCCTCCCCTCAATACGGTGCAGTCGTCCTGTCCCCTTTGCAGAAAAGCATCCCCAAAGAATGATGTTTCCATCTCCATGCTTCATGGTTGGGATGGTGTTCTTGGGGTTGTACTCATCCTTCTTCCTCCAAACACGGAGAGTGGAGTTTAGACCAAAAAGCTCTATTTTTGTCTCATCAGACCACATGATCTTCTCCCATTCCTCCTCTGGATCATCCAGATGGTAATTGGCAATCTTCAGACGGGCCTGGACATGCGCTGGCTTGAGCAGGGGGACCTTGCGTGTGCTGCAGGATTTTAATCCATGAAGGCGTAGTGTGTTACTAATGGTTTTCTTTGAGACTGTGGTCCCAGCTCTCTTCAGGTCATTAACCAGGTCCTGCCATGTAGTTCTGGGCTGATCCCTCACCTTCCTCATGATCATTGATGCCCCACGAGGTGAGATCTTGCATGGAGCCCCAGACCGAGGGTGATTGACCGTCATCTTGAACTTCTTCCATTTTCTAATAATTGCGCCAACAGTTGTTGCCTTCTCACCAAGCTGCTTGCCTATTGTCCTGTAGCCCATCCCAGCCATCCCAGCAGGTCTACAATTTTATCCCTGATGTCCTTACACAGCTCTCTGGTCTTGGCCATTGTGGAGAGGTTGGAGTCTGTTTGATTGAGTGTGTGGACAGGTGTCTTTTATACAGATAACGAGTTCAAACAGGTGCAGTTAATACAGGTAATGAGTGGAGAACAGGAGGGCTTCGTAAAGAAAAACTAACAGGTCTGTGAGAGCCGGAATTCTTACTGGTTGGTAGGTGATCAAATACTTATGTCATGCAATAAAATGCAAATTAATTACTTAAAAATCATACAATGTGATTTTCTGGATTTTAGTTTTAGATTCCGTCTCTCACAGTTGAAGTGTACCTATGATAAAAATTACAGACCTCTACATGCTTTGTAAGTAGGAAAACCTGCAAAATCGGCAGTGTATCAAATACTTGTTCTCCCCACTGTATGTATGTACACTACCGTTCAAAAGTTTGGGGTCACTTAGAAATGTCCTTGTTTTCGAAAGAAAAGCAACTTTTTTGTCCATTAAATTAACATCAAATTGATCAGAAATACAGTGTAGACATTGTTAATGTTGTAAATGGCTATTGTAGCTGGAAACTGCAGATTTTTTATGGAATATCTACATAGGCGTACAGTGCGATTATTCGCATATGGAAGAAACACAAAATAACTGTCAATCTCCCTCGGCCTGGGGCTCCATGCAAGATCTCACCTCGTGGAGTTGCAATGATCATGAGAACGGTGAGGAATCAGCCCAGAACTACACAGGAGGATCTTGTCAATGATCTCAAGGCAGCTGGGACCATAGTCACCAAGAAAACATAATATCCATCAGACCAGAGGACATTTCTCCAAACAGTACAATCTTTGTCCCCATGTGCAGTTGCAAACCGTATTCTGGCTTTTTAATGGCGGTTTTGGAGCAGTGGCTTCTTCCTTGCTGAGCGGCCTTTCAGGTTATGTCGATATAGGACTCGTTTTACTGTGGATATAGATGCTTTTGTACCCGTTTCCTCCAGCATCTTCACAAGGTCCTTTGTTGTTCTGGGATTGATTTGCACTTTTCGCACCAAAATACGTAAATCTCTAGGAGACAGAACGCGTCTCCTTCCTGAGCGGTATGACGGCTGCGTGGTCCCATGGTGTTTATAGTTGCGTACTATTGTTTATACAGATGAACGTGGTACCTTCAGGCGTTTGGAAATTGCTCCCAAGGATGAACCAGACTTGTGGAGGTCTAGAGTTTTATTTCTGAGGTCTTGGCTGATTTCTTTTGATTTTCCCATGATGTCAAGCAAAGAGGCACTGAGTTTGAAGGTAGGTCTTGAAATACATCCACAGGTACACCTCCAATTGAGTCAAATTATGTCAATTAGCCTATCAGAAGCTTCTAAAGCCATGACATCATTTTCTGGAATTTTCCAAGCTGTTAAAGGCACAGTCAACTTAGTGTATGTAAACCTCTGACCCACTGGAATTGTGATACAAATTATTTCACTTATAATTCACTGTATGTAAACAATTGTATGAAAAATTACTTGTGTCATGCACAAAGTAGATGTCCTAACCGACTTGCCAAAACTATAGTTTATTAACAAGACATTTGTGGAGTGGTTGAAAATCAAGTTTTAATGACTCCAACCTAAGTGTATGTAAACTTCCGACTTCAACTGTGTGTGTGTGTATATATATCTCAGAAGAATCCGATGTGTGTGAACATACAGGATTGGTCATATTTCAGAGCTGGAAGTCTGTAGTGATTCCATCTAATGTGCTCCCATCTGAAGTGCTCCCATCTGTCACTTGAATTGAGACATGGGTGCCTGCCTCACCCCGGCCTGAAGTGTTCCCATCTGTCACTTGAATTGGGACATGGGTGCCTGCCTCACCCCGGCCTGAAGTGTTCCCATCTGTCACTTGAATTGGGACATGGGTGCCTGCCTCACCCCGGCCCTGAAGTGTTCCCATCTGTCACTTGAATTGGGACATGGGTGCCTGCCTCACCCCGGTCCTAGTGGGCCGCTGTCCTGTTGTGTTTGGCTCCTCCCTGTCACTTAATGGATCAATAAATCACATATTGCACAGAGTTTACAGCACACACCTAGTTTCTCTGAAAAGTGATTAAAAGGCATGGATGAAAACCAGCAGGGACTGCAGTCTTCAATGACCGGATCTGTGCACCTCAGAATTAGGCCTAGGCTAACTTATTAGAACATAGAATTTGTAAGACCACTGTCAGTAATGGCATTGTTAGTTGACTCCCCATTTCAGCCCGTTTTAGCCTTGAAGCCAGTAGCCTAGTGATTAATTCCATGCAACTCCGGGATCTCTTCAATAGTTCATGAAATCATATGGTGCTGTCATGGCGACAGCTGGTACTTAGGGTATTTTTGACTGCTTTCCCCAGACTTGTTTCCTGCTCTTTCATGGTAGTGTCTCTTATCAAATCAATTGCCTTCATAAAAACCTATCTACCAAACAAACAGCTGATGAAGAAGTCGTCGTTGCGGTGTCTGTGTCACAGTGAGATCGGTGTAGAGAAGGAGAACTTATAGCCTATCTGACACACACCCACGTGTTTGTGTGTAAATGTTGTGCGTGTCAACGTTGTCTGTCAGCGTCGTTGTTGCTGTGGCAGTAGTGACGGCGTGTACGGCTGCTTTCTCTCTCAGTGAGACGCTCTCAGTAGGAGAGGAATACTTCAGCTTCAAGTGGAGCTATGTTAGAGGCCCATCATTTCTAATATTAACTGAGATGGTTTTGTTGTGTTTCACATAGATTCAACAGGTTGGCCCGATCTAGGCTATGTTGTACTGTAGGCTAAGCAGTAGCCTATCCTGTAGTTTTGAAGTTCCATGGGGTGTGCTGGTACTTAAGCGCTGTGTGTATCTGGCTGTGCGTCAGGACCATATTAAAGATTCATCACGATACACCCTGAAATATTGATGACCTGCCTGTGGTCGGGAAAAGGAGCAGCCTGCCTCTGTTAAACACAGACATGAGACTCAATCAGAACAGAGGAGGAGGGTTAGACTTGGACAGATTGACTGATACTGGACTGTACCGGCTATAAACTGGCTATACTGGAATGCACTAGTCTGTAGCAGTCTATACTGGACTGGACTGCACTGGATTTATTGGCTAGGCCATCTTGGACTGCACTGAACCTGAGTATCATCTGAATTTATGCTGCATGAGTGAAACTTCTTGTCGTTGTGTGCTGGCTACCTAAAATGCACCCTACACACGCATGCATCCATGTGCACAGTACACACACACACAGCGATGATATAGCCTACACCAAGGCACACCTTATTCTCTGTTTCAGAGCTGACGGCAGCACACACCTGTGGACACAGTGGACACACACTAGTTAAACAATGCGCCAGTCCTGGGAGGTGCCCCTATAGGCCTACTTTTAGCACTTGGCAAATAGCCTACCTGTAGCCTCCCGGATTTACAAGGAGACTGGAGAAAAAGTAGGCCTATGAAACTGAGATTTTAACTGACTGATACCAACCTGGAATCTGCATAGCCTAAACTAAAGGTTGATGAAATATAATGATTAGCCTAGACTGTGTATCTTTGTGTGTCTACACACAGCATGACCACAGCAGTACCCAGAGCCCTTTCCTGTTCCAGTCCTTTTTCTTAGCAGAGGAAGGCGTTCTCTTCTCTCCTCTAACTAGTGGGCTCTGCCATATTTATAGCTGTCTGTGGTGGGGAAAATGATTGGAATCATCCCGTCTTTGCCAGTTTTGGATTATAACCCTGGGTTGACAGTGAAGGGTAGCCTGTTGTTGGGGGTCGGTCTGTCTGCAGCCTTAGAACTGGAGGAATTCTCTTCTTCAGATGAAAAGGAAGTTCTGTTTGTCTGAGTTCATATTGACTTTTGAAAACCCGAGGCCAGGTTAGGTAGATGAGGCTGGTGGTGGTGGTGGTGCTCTTGATTTGTAAGCAGACATCATAGTAAACTTAGGCTAGGCTAGCATCCACTACAGATGATCCATTCACGTCACACAGGAGTGGCTTCAGAGTTCAGTCATCACACCATGGCAATGCAGCAGATATAGGCTTGATTTACTACATGGGAGTGCAGCCTGTTGACTCCCTCACTGCTCCTGGTGATATACTGTATGTAGTAGTATGAACACTGACTTTGTTCTCTCTTTTCCTTTCCTATCAGGATCCGTCAGTGACACAAGTAACACAGAATGCTCCTCCAGGGTTGGAAGAGTACAACCCCTTCACAGATGCCAAGCCGGTGAGAACAGCACAGTACACTGCACACTGTTAGAGGTGCTGAGGAGAGGTGGGCTGGTGGATGTGTGAGAGCGACCATTGATGAGCTAGAAATAGAAGTGCTGATATGGGACTGATGGTGACTACAGATGATTAGTGTTCATTATGTTCAGCGTCAAAAGCTTCCAGGAGGAGTGGTTGAAGATTCTGATTCACGAATGTCTGCTTCTCAATTGACACCCTATTCCCCCTTTAGTTATATAATATGACATTTAGAAGACTCTTTTATGCAAAGCTACTTAGTCATGTGTGCATACATTTTTAAGTGGTCCTGGGAATCGAACCCACTATCCTGGCTTTGCAAGCACCATGCTTTACCAACTGAGCTACAGAGGACCACTAGTACACTACCTTGTTTTGACCTGAGCTACATGGGGTTCTTGTCAAAGTAGTGCACTACATGGAGAATAGGGTGTCGTTTGACACAAAACCAGTGTGTGATGTTTGTATTTTCTCCCAGGTCCCCCCTGGCACGGCACCCAAAGTACCGGCCCCCACCACCAACACACAACCAGCCATCATGAAGCCGACGGAAGAACCGCCTGCATACTCACAGCCTCAACAGACACAGGTACCACACACACCGACCTCACATCCTTTTCTATCCTTTTACACCATGCAATTCCACCCCTCTGAAGAAAAGAGAGGAGAGCTCACTGTAGCGTTGGGTCTTCGGCTGCACCTTTTCGCTATGGAATGTATTTCCATATAAACAGCATGCTCGGGTGGGGTGACAGCTCCAGGCTACGAGGCAGCAGGCTCTCCCTCTGAGTGTGGCGTGTTCTAATAACAGCTGTTTGTGACCGTGTGGAGACAGCCTAGCTCCACACCTCGCCTCCTGAGGGAGAAGTGTAACTTAGTGTTTGCAAAAAGAGAGGTGTATTAGAGAGAGACGGATAACACAGGAAAAAGAAAACGCCTTATTCTAAAGTTTTAGGGAGTTTTTATACCTCTACGGACACATCCATGTCCATGGGCATACACACTGAGATGGTTTCAGAATGCTGCTCCAGGAAGTTGGCAATGATAAGGCATGTGACTAGTTTCCTGTCTCTTGCCCTACAAATCATTCCTTCCTACCTTAAAGATGCACTGTGCAGTAATTTAGCATTTTGTAAAATAAGAAGCAGAGCGTTAATTATTCTGACTTGCATGGAGATAGAGTAGTTGGAGATGACTACTGGGACTGTGCAGTGATCTGTGCTGACACCGTAGTCTCTGCCAAACACACACACACAGAGAGACACAGAGATACGTTACAAAAACAAAGTCAGCTCCCTCAATGTCAATTCCAAGTTGACTTGAAGTTAATTGTCAGAGATCAAATCAGATTTGTCAGCCATATGGAGCCTGATCTAGCCTGGATAACATCTACAACATCTCTGTGTACTGTATAGTGTCAGTGCGCCCTGTTTGACTATGTGTGTGTGTGTAGGAGCAGGTGCGGGCTGCAGCAGAGCTGCTGAGGAGACAGGAGGAGCTGGAGAGGAAGGCAGCAGAGCTAGACCGCCGGGAGAGAGAGATGCAGTCGCTCAACGCATCAGGAGGTTGGCACCAACCTTCCTACAACATTCAATGTTTCCACATTAAAACAACGTTAAGCTTTGTCAGACCCAAAAGTTCATACAACATCTTAGCAGAATCATTCAAGCATGTTTCTCCTCTCTCTCCTCTGTCTCAGGTAGGAAAAACAACTGGCCTCCCCTCCCAGAGAAGTTCCCTGTGGGTCCCTGTTTCTACCATGACATCACAGTGGACATCCCTGTAGATTTCCAGAAGACTGTCAAGATCATGTACTACATCTGGATGTGTGAGTGACTGTATCTATGTTCCCTATACCTCATAACCACATACGCCTAGCTCCAGTCTCTACCCAAGATCATGTACCGTATTTTCCGCACTATAATAGGCCATTCATTGAAGGTGCGCCTTATAATCCGGTGCGCCCTATATATGAAAACAGTTCTAAAATAGGCCATTCATTGAAGGTGCGCCTTATAATCCGGTGCGCTTTATAGTGCGGAAAATACGGTACTACATCTGGATAAGTGTGACCTCATATGTTAACTGCCCTGCTCCCTTGTCCAGTCAGACTCTACTATGGCAAATGTACACTTTAGAATTGTACTTTCAATATGCCTGAACGTTTGCCTAAGTTATGTCGCAAGCTTTAAAAAAAATACTATTCTCCAAATATCCAACTGTCTCTTTCAAAGTCTTGCCTGACAGCCAGTCCGTTAGAGCTGAAAAGGCCATTGAGAAGTGGTACAGAGGAACACATGAATGCAGCATGTATTAGATATGAGCTAATAGCACAGTGTAGAATTCTACTACCACATGATGCAGCTAGTCATGTGGTTGGTTATGTGACCGGGTCAGGTGACTGGGGGGAGGCTTTGAGAGTTCCAACCTGTCTAGGGCACTCCTACCTCTCTCGCTCTCCCCTCTCCTACAGTATCTCCCTTATTTCTCCATCTGCATATCTCTCTACCTCTCTGTCTCTCCCACCCTCTCCTCTCCTTTTCCCCACACCTTTATGTACTCTTCCCCATCTCACCAGAGAGCATTATAGAAGTGTTAGATTCCTCAGTATGGTTCAGAATCCTGCCACTATAGTTATGACTATACCATGCCAATGTGACTGTACACTACAACACACCAGACTTTATACAATGCCCAGAGCCATGCCATTATAATAGCCCCAAGGTAGAGTTCTGCTCATTGTGAATTATTTAATTGACCGTGTGTGTACGCTGTGTGTTTGTCTTGTGTGTGTGTGTGTGTGTGTGTACACTGTGTGTGTGTTCACTGTTTAGTTTAATAGGATCCCCATTAGCTACTGCACATGCAGCAGCTACTCTTCCTGGGGTCACAAAGTACAGATCAGTAGTAGACAAGAACAACAAGCTCACTCCGCCAACCCTGATGTTCTAGCAGTGTCTGAATCCTGGCTTAGGAAGGCCACCAAATATTCTGAAATTTCCATCCCCAACTACAACATTTTCCGTCTAGATAGAACTGCCAAAGGGGGTGGAGTTGCAATCTACTGTAGAGAGAGCCTGCAGAGCTCTATCATACTATCCAGGTCTGTGCCCAAACAGTTTGAGCTTCTACTTCTAAAAATCCACCTGTCCAGAAATAAGTCTCTCACTGTTGCCGCTTGCTACAGACCCCCCTCAGCCCCCAGCTGTGCCCTGGACACCATATGTGAATTGATTGCCCCCCATTTATCCTCAGAGTTTGTACTGCTTGGTGACCTAAATTGGGATATGCTTAACACCCCGGCCATCCTACAATCCAAACTAGATGCCCTCAATCTCACACAAATTATCAACGAACCTACCAGGTACAACCCTAAATCCGTAAACATGGGCACCCTCATAGATATCATCCTGACTAACTTACCCTCTAAATACACCTCCGCTGTCTTCAACCAGGATCTCAGCGATCACTGCCTCATTGCCTGCGTCCGTAACGGGTCCGCGGTCAAACAACCACCCTTCATCACTGTCAAACGCTCCCTAAAACACTTTAGCGAGCAGGCCTTCCTAATTGACCTGGCCCAGGTATCCTGGATGGATATCGATCTCATTCCGTCAGTAGAGGATGCCTGGTTGTTCTTTAAAAGTAATTTCCTCTCAATCTTAAATAAACAAGATTATATAAAAAAAAAATACAGAACTAAGAACATATATAGCCCCTGGTTCTCCTCAGACTTGACTGCCCTTGACCAGCACAGAAACATCCTGTGGTGTACTGCATTAGCATCGAATAGCCCCCGCGATATGCAACTTTTCAGGGAATTTAGGAACCAATATACACAAGCAGTTAGGAAAGCAAAGGCTAGCTTTTTCAAACAGAAATTTGCATCCTGTAGCACTAACTCCAAAAAGTTTTGGGACACTGTAAAGTCCATGGAGAATAAGAGCACCTCCTCCCAGCTGCCCACTGCACTGAGGCTAGGAAACACTATCACCACCGATAAATCTACAATAATCGAGAATTTCAACAAGCATTTTGCTACAGCTGGCCATGCTTTCCACCTGGCTACCACTACCCCGGCCACCAGCTCTGCACCCTCCGCTGCAACTTGCCCATGCCCCCCCCCCCCCCCCCCCCCCCCGCTTCTCCTTCACACAAATTCAGACAGCTGATGTTCTGAAAGAGCTGCAAAATCTGGACCCCTACAAATCATCTGGGCTAGACAATCTGGACCCTTTCTTTCTAAAACTAGCCGCCGAAATTGTCGCAACCCCTATTACTAGCCTGTTCAACTTCTCTTTCGTAACGTCTGAGATCCCCAGAGATTGGAAAGCTGCTGCGGTCGGGGGTGACACTCTAGATCCAAACTGTTACAGACCTATATCCATCCTGTCCTGCCTTTCGAAAGTATTTGAAAGCCAAGTTAACAAACAGATCACCGACCATTTCGAATCCCACCGTACCTTCTCCGCTATGCAATCCGGTTTCCGAGCTGGTCATGGGTGCACCTCAGCCACGCTCAAGGTCCTAAACGATATTATAACCGCGATCGATAATAGACAGTACTGTGCAGCCGTCTTCATCGACCAGGCCAAGGCTTTCGACTCTGTCAACCACCGCATTCTTATTGGCAGACTAAATAGCCTTGGTTTCTCAAATGACTGCCTCGCCTGGTTCACCAACTACTTCTCAGATAGAGTTCAGTGTGTCAAATCGGAGGGCCTGTTGTCTGGACCTATGGCAGTCTCTATGGGGGTGCCACAGGGTTCAATTCTTGGGCCGACTCTTTTTTCTGTGTATATCAATGATGTCACTCTTGCTGCTGGTGTCTCTCAGATCCACCTCTACGCAGACGACACCATTTTGTATACATCTGGCCCTTCATTGGACACTGTGTTAACAAACCTCCAAACGAGCTTCAATGCCATACAACACTCCTTCCGTAGCCTCCAACTGCTCTTAAACACTAGTAAAACTAAATGCATGCTCTTCAATCGAACGCTGCTTGCACCCGCCCACCCGACTAGAATCACTACTCTCGACGGGTCTGACCTAGAGTATGTGGACAACTACAAATACCTAGGTGTCTGGTTAGACTGTAAACTCTCCTTCTAGACTCACATTAAGCATCTCCAATCCAAAGTTAAATCTAGAATCGGCTTCCTATTTCGCAACAAAGCCTCCTTCACTCATGCTGCCAAACATGCCCTCGTAAAACGGACTATACTACCGATCCTTGACTTCGGCGATGTCATTTACAAAATAGCCTCCAACACTCTACTCAGCATATTGGATGTAGTCTATCACAGTGCCATCCGTTTTGTCACCAAAGCCCCATATACTACCCACCACTGTGACCTGTACGCTCTTGTTGGCTGGTCCTCACTACAGATTCGTCGCCAAACCCACTGGCTCCAGGCCATCTATAAATCACTGCTAGGCAAATCCCTGCCTTATATTAGCTCATTGGTCACCATAGCAACACCCACCCGTAGTCTGCGCTCCAGCAGGTATATCTCACTGGTCATCCCCAAAGCCAACACCTCCTTTGGCCGCCATTCCTTCCAGTTCTCTGCTGCCAATGACTGGAACGAATTGCAAAAATCTCTGAAGACTCTTATCTCCCTCACTAACTTTAAGCATCAGTTGTCAGAGCACCTTACCGATCACTGCACCTGTACACAGCCCATCTGAAATTAGCCCACTCAACTACCTCATCCCCATATTGTTATTTATTTTTGCTAATTTGCACCCCAGTATCTCTATTTGCACATCATCTCTTGCACATCTATCATTCCAGTGTTAATATTAATTGTAATTATTTTGCACTATGACCTATTTATTGCCTTACCTCCATAACTTACTACATTCGCACACACTGTATATATATTTTCTGTTGTATTTTTGACTTTATCTTTTGTTTTACCCCATATGTAACTCTGTTGTTTTTATCGCACTGCTTTGCGTTATCTTGGCCAGGTCGCAGTTGTAAATGAGAACTTGTTCTCAACTGGCTTACCTGGTTAAATAAAGGTGAAATAAAAATAAAATATTACATTAAATTTAAAAAAACAAGTTGTATATAGGAAAGACACCAAGAGACAACAAAAATACTATTTACACACTATTCATATTCTTATATACACTACAGTTAAATTAGATCTTTAGAAAGAGGAGAGGTGCTGTGATACAATATTTTTTAAAGCTAAACTTGCTTTTTGCCTGAGTAACCTCTGGTGGCAGTGCATTCCACGATGACAAGGCTCTATACATACACTACCGTTCAAAAGTTTGGGGTCACTTAGAAATGTCCTTGTTTTCGAAAGAAAAGCAATTTTTTGGTCCATTTAAAATAACATCAAATTGATCAGAAATACAGTGTAGACATTGTTAATGTTGTAAATGGCTATTGTAGCTGGAAACGGCATATTTTTTATGGAATATCTACATAGGCGTACAGAGGCCCATTATCAGCAACCATCAGTCCTGTGTTCCAATGGCACGTTGTGTTTGCTAATCCAAGTTTATCATTTTAAAAGGCTAATTGATCATTAGAAAACCCTTTTGCAATTATGTTAGCACAGCTGAAAACTGTTGTGCTGATTAAAGAAGCAATAAAAGTGGCCTTCTTGAGACTAGTTGAGTATCTGGAGCATCAGCAATTGTGGGTTCGATTACAGGCTCAGAATGGCCAGAAACAAATAACTTTCTTCTGAAACTCGTCAGTCTATTCTTGTTCTGAGAAATGAAGGAAATGTATTTCAAATTTCTTGGCAAGAAATTGCCAAGAAACTGAAGATCTCGTACAACGCTGTGTACTACTCCCTTCACAGAACAGCGCAAACTGGCTCTAACCAGAATAGAAAGAGGAGTGGGAGGCCCCGGTGCACAACTGAGCAAGAGGACAAATACATTAGTGTCTAGTTTGAGAAACAGACGCCTCACAGGTCCTCAACTGGCAGCTTCATTAAATAGTACCCGCAAAACACCAGTCTTTTGAATCTTTTCTTTTTATTGGCCAGTCTGCCTAGAAGGTCAGCATCTCGGAGTCACCTCTTCACTGTTGATGTTGAGGCCTCCCACTCCTCTTTCTATTCTGGTTAGAGACAGTTTCAGATAGAAATGTAATGTTTAGAGTTGATCTCTACACCTTTATTCTACACAACAAAGATTTATATCAGCTCTGTACGTTACATTTCTATCTGCAACGTATTTAATGTTAACTAACCAATGGTATGGTGTTTATGGTTCTGCTCCAGTCCACACGGGGACACTGTTTGCCAACATGTTTGGCTGTCTGGCCTGGTTCTGTGTGGATGCGTCCAGGGGAGTGGACTTCGGCCTGTCCATGCTCTGGTTCATGATCTTCACTCCCTGCTCCTTCGTCTGCTGGTACAGACCCCTCTACGGAGCCTTCAGGTGGCTACACACAAACACACAAACAAACAAACAAACAAACAAACAAACATGTCTTTCAGTCAACATTAAACAGCAAACTTTCTCCCCCTCTCCCTTTCTCTCTCTCCAGGAGTGACAGCTCATTCCGTTTCTTCGTCTTCTTCTTCGTCTACATCTGTCAGTTTGGTGTTCACGTGATGCAGTCCATTGGCATCTCCGGCTGGGGTGCCAGGTGAGGACAGGAAGCTGTCACAGATATTAACAGGAAGTGACACAGTCACACTGTTCTCTGAGAATAGACCCAGGGCATCGTTCAAGAGGGTGCAACGTACTGAACTTTGATTGCACATAGAAATACAATCAATAAAGGTTACATGTAATTCACCCTTTAATCTTGTCTATAGTTGTCCTTTTCTCCTGCAGTGAGTGACACGGCCACACTGTTCTCTGACATCACTTGGAAAAGATTCAGTACATGTTATTCACCCTGATATTGATTGAGATTCAGTACATGTTATTCACCCTGATATTGATTGAGATTCAGTACATGTTATTCACCCTGATATTGATAGATTCAGTACATGTTATTCACCCTGATATTGATAGAGATTCAGTACATGTTATTCACCCTGATATTGATAGATTCAGTACGTTATTCACCCTGATATTGATAGATTCAGTACATGTTATTCACCCTGATATTGATAGATTCAGTACGTTATTCACCCTGATATTGATAGATTCAGTACATGTTATTCAACCTGATATTGATAGTTTCAGTACGTTATTCAACCTGATATTGATAGAGATTCAGTACATGTTATTCACCCTGATATTGATAGAGATTCAGTACATGTTATTCACCCTGATATTGATAGAGATTCAGTACATGATATTGATAGAGATTCAGTACATGTTATTCACCCTGATATTGATAGAGATTCAGTACATGTTATTCACCCTGATATTGATAGAGATTCAGTACATGTTATTCACCCTGATATTGATAGAGATTCAGTACATGATATTGATAGAGATTCAGTACATGTTATTCACCCTGCTATTGATAGAGATTCAGTACATGTAATTCACCCTGATATTGATAGAGATTCAGTACATCAAATCCTGTCTCTGGTTGTCCTTCTCTCCTCTAGTGGGTGGATCTCAGCTCTGACTGGTCTGAATAAGAGCATCCCTGTTGGCATCATCATGATCCTCATCGCTGCTCTCTTCACTGCCCTTGCTACCATGTCCCTCATCATGTTCAAAAAGGTACCACACACACACAATTTCTCATCATATTCATAAAGGTATGAATGAGACTCAGCCTTTCACCATGTTAGAGACGATGAGACTATGGAACCAGAACACCCACACAGTCTCTGAGATGATGAACACAGGGTATTTATAGACGTGCTCAAGTAGATAATTACCTCCGCTCTTCTCACTGCTCTCCCTCTCCTTTCTTCCTCCCTTCCTCTCTTCCTCTCCCCCCTCCCTCCCTACTCCCCCCCCCTTCCTCCCTACTCTACCCCCCCCTTCCTCCCTACTCTACCCCCTTCCTCCCTACTCTACCCCCTTCCTCCCTACTCTACCCCCTTCCTCCCTACTCTACCCCCACCCCCCCTCATTTCTTCAGGTACATGGTATGTACCGCACCACTGGGGCCAGCTTTGAGAAGGCCCAGGCAGAGTTCGCCACGGGCGTCATGGCCAACAAGACGGTCCAGACAGCCGCCGCTACCGCAGCCTCCAACGCCGCCAGCGGAGCATTCAAGCAACAGATTTGATTGGTCCGAAGAGCCACCTAGAGCCCGCCCTCTTTCTTCTCTCCGTCCAATCCAAGCTCCAGAGCGAACTGGAGTTTCCCTGCCCTCCTAACCTAGCTCTACTGACATGACTAGCATGACACCTAGAAGGATGAGACCAATGATGTCATAGTAGATGAAAACAGGAAGTAGACATGAGAGGCTTGTTTGAATCGTTTCATTCAGTTCCATTTGTCTCCCAGTGCAGATGTACTTCCTGTAGAATCTTTGAGGTTTATGACATCACCTTCTGATCCCTCTCCGTCTCATTCTGCTCACATGGCGACACCCAGCTTCCACCAAGCCCCGCCTCTCACCTGCCCTGAGGGCTGTAACTCCGCCCACCCCAGTGACTTTATTAATGCACTCCTGTCCTGTCTCTTACCCTACAACCCTTAGTCATGTCACAAAGTGTTTGCAAACTTTCCTTTGAGTGTGTAGCTGTGTGTATGGGTGTGCAGCTGTCTGTGTATGCGTGCGTATATGGATATTAGTCTCTCCATATGTTGATGCTGAGGCCTATACATTGTGTGAGTACCAGCTATAGATTATATTCTTTCTCTCACTCCCTCTAAAGCATTGTACCAAGTCAATTCACTGCACCAAGACTATTTTAGCTGTAGCTATCCATTCACTTCTACAACTAAATTATTAACTGGATTTAGCCAAGTACTGTTAAAATGTAACACTTGTTTACTTCTTTTGAAACCTGAGCCGGTCAGGCCGAGATGGGCACTAGTCAGTGAGTCTGTCCTCTGGTGGTGAGACCGGCTAGTGTTGATGATGAATGCTGTGCATTCCACAATGTTGTGTTTAATACCTCGGAATGATCACATCTAAATGGTTTAATCTCAAGAAGTGAGTGAAAACTGATCAGAACTCAATCAGGAAGGGTACTATTATATCTGTACAGTTCATACACTAGGACACTCACGTGAGATGTTATTGTTCAGTTAACATTATGATTAAAAGAGAGCAGTTTGCTCTGACACCTGTGGTCGAGTCTATCTTCCAAACTTAACAGGTACGCTTCTCAGCAATCAGGATTCTGTCTTTGCTGTCTTGGTTATACTTTTCATAACCGTGTCTTCTCTTTCTCACAGCCTTGTAGTCTTGCCTTTGATAACATTTGATCAAAATACCTTTTAATATAAACAAAGAACCAGATGACATGAACCTAAATGTCATAGCCTCTATCCTTGTCCCTTGCTTTAGTGGTAAAGTTGCGCTTCATGTAGACACTCCTTCACACAGACACATCCACCCAATAGCTGTATTTTAGGCCTTCAGACCTGCACAGACACATGTATGCTAGCTAAGCTAGATGCTAACAACTTGACTCCAGTGAGAGAGAGAGCTAGCTAGTCTCCAGCCTTGGTTTTCTAGTGGAGACATACCTCAGTTAGTTAGTACTATTCAGGATAATATCAAGATGTAATGTACTCTTTATGTGCATGACAAAGCTTGCAGATCAACTGGACACTACTCTGGTCTAGGCATCTGTGTGTATAGAAGTCTATGGTTACACTCCAGTGAGTGAGTGAACTGATGAAAAAGGAGTATTCTGTCTGTTTGAAGTTGATGCTGTGCATTAAAGTGAATCAGTCCAGTAGTCCCTCTTTCTCCAAACACTCCTTCAGAACAGGAGATATCATTGGTTATATCCCAGTTATATCATTGGTCTGTGCTGTATGGCTGTGTAGACGCTGATAGCCTGAGTATTAATTATATTATCTTCATCGCATGATTGAGTGAAAGGAGAGATCCCCCAGTGTTTTATGTCTTCATGTTTATTGGTTTGTTTGTCTGTTCTGTGTCTTCCTCTGTTGGATTTGATTCATCATGTTAGATAGAAAGTACTGAATAAGTTCTGATTCCATTCAATTTAACATGTCTTGTTTTGAGTGTTTATAACTGTGAACCTACCTGTGACTTTCAGCCTTTGAGTGTGACATGAAGAGGGGTTGGGGATGTTAGAGGGGTGCACATGTGTGCCGTAATATCATTGATGTGTGTGTTGCGGGGTGTGTCAGTCAAAGTGAAGTCTTAACAAGTATAGCTGGTTGTTCAGTTGAACACTAATGTGGGCAGAGGCAGAGACAGGCTGACAACTTCATGTTTTTCCTCCTTTTTATACTTTCCTGCTTTCCTTAGTCTAATAGTCATTCATCTCTCTTTTTGTGGTCTTGAGTATGAGTGTATGCCTGTGAATATGTGTGTGCGCTGAGCTACTTTAAGTTATTCTACATATTTTGAAAATCTGAACGAATGGCACCTGAATGTTCCTGTTAAATATTTGTTGGCTTGGAAACAAAAAATGCATGAACTGGGAAATGTGAGGAAGTCAGTAGGTGAAACTAAGCAATGTTAGTGTTTTGAGATTAACTGTGGCTTTAACTTGTGCTTTTTAATCAATGTATCAAGTATATAGTATAAAAACACAGAATTATTATGAAATTTGTCTTGCTCATCTCTGACAATGGAATCAATTGAAGTTATTTAAAAAATAAAGCAGACTTTAAGGGATGTTTGTTGATTTTGTCAAATTTGACAACTGGTCGGCTGGTATCCTGAATTTCATTGTACTGTACATAAACTCTCTTCTCTCCTTTAAGTCGCATGTTGAGTAGTTTGTTTTGTATATTTATTGTATTAACACAGAATAAAATTCAGAAGTCAACTACCTCCTTTTTTCGCAATGATATTTTCTGGAAGGGTGTTCAAAGCTGTACTACTAGTTGATGGCCAGCAGAGGTCAGTAGAAACCAAAGGATCTGGAGGAGGACTGAACGGTGGTTGATCAGTTGTTATGGATTGTGACACTACTACATTGATCCTTCAGCTAAAGTTCTAGACGTCCTTGTGATTTACTGATATTATGGTGGGTAATCTTTAATGAACAGATACCAGGGACAAAGACTTGAAGAGATAGAAAGGAACAAAAAGACTAGGGGATCAGATGGCCTCATGCCTAACTACATGCGTGATTCCACTTCCTCCTCACAGTGATCATGTGCTCAATTTTCAACCAATGAGGGGATATGATTAAACTGGCCCGGGCACCCGGTAGGCGGTTTGTACTAGGTGAAAAGTGATTGCATTCGTTTTGGAAACGGGCTGCCTCCCGAACATGAGTCGGGTGCCCGTTCTGGCTAATGCTGAAGTTGGCTCAAAGTGAAAGTGAAGTACAAAAATATAAACACAACAAAGATTTTACTGAGTTACAGTAAAATCAGTAGGTGGGGCGGCAGGTAGCTTAGTGGTTAAGAGCGTTGTGCCAGTAACCGAAAGGTCGCTGGTTCTAATCCCCGAGCCAACTAGGTGAAAAATCTGTCGATGTGCCCTTGAGCAAGGCACTTAACCCTAATTGCTCCTGTAAGTCGCTCTGGATACGTCTGCTAAATAATGTAAATGTAAATGTCATATGAGGAAGTCAGTCGATTGAAATAAATTCATTAGGCCCTAATCTATGGATTTCACATGACTGGGAATACAGATATGCATCTGTCCGTCACATAACTTTTTTTTAAAGGTAGGGGAAAACCAGTCAGTATCTGGTGTGACCACCATTTGCCTCATGCACCACGACATATCTCCTTCACATAGAGTTGATCAGGCTGTTGATTGTGGCCTGTGGAATGTTGTTCCACTCCTCTTCAATGGCTGTGCAAAGTTGATGGATATTGGCAGTAACTGGAACACGCTGTCGTACATGTCGATCCAGAGCATCCCATACATGCTCAATGGGTGTCATGTCTGGTGAGTATGAAGGCCATGGAAGAACTGGGACATTTTCAGCTTCCAGGAATTGTGTACAGATCCTTGCGACATTGGGCCGTGCAGTATCATGCTGAAACATGAGGTGATTGCGGCGGATGAATGGCAACGACAATGGGCCTCAGGATCTCGTCACGGTATCTCTGTGCATTCAAATTGCCATTGATAAAATGCAATTGTGTTCGTTGACCGTAGTTTATGCCTGCCCATACCATTACCCCACCCACTCTGTTCACAGCATTGACATCAGCAAACCGCTTGCCCACACGACGCCATACACGCTGTCTGCCATCTGTCCGGTACAGCTGAAACCAGGACTCATCCATGAAGAGCACACTTCTCCAGCATGCCATTGGCCATCGAAGGTGAGCATTTCCCACTGAAGTCAGTTACGACGCCAAACTGTAGTCAGGTCAAGACCCTGGTGAGGACGACGAGCACGCAGATGAGCTTCCCTGAGACGGTTTCTGACAGTTTGTGCAGAAATTATTTTGTTGTGCAAACCCACAGTTTTATCAGCTGTCCAGATGGCTGGTCTCAGACGATCCTGCAGGTGAAGAAGCCGGATATGGAGGTCCTGGGCTGGCGTGGGTACACGTGGTCTGCGGTTGTGAGGGGGGTTGGACGTACTGGCACATTTTCTAAAACGATGTTGGTAGAGGAATGAACATTCAATTATCTGGCAACGGATCTGGTGGACATTCCTGCAGTGGCCTTTTATTGTCCCCAGCACAAGGTGCACCTGTGTAATCATGCTTGATATGCCACACCTGGCAGGTGGATGGATTATCTTGGCAATTAAAAAATCCTCACTAACAGGGATGTAAACTAATTTGTGCACAAACTTTGAGAGAAATAATAGTTTTGTGGGACATTTCTGGGATCTTTTATTTCAGCTCATGAAACATGGGACCAACACTTTACATGTTGCGTTTATATTTTTGTTCAGTGTGGATTAAGCACATGGAGTAATGAGTAGGATTCTATGGTGTAACGAGTAGTATTATGTGTTATCATGTGTAAAAGTAATTGCTTTTGATAAAAATGCTTGATATGCCTTCTCAATGAAAACCAGTTCTTAAAATTCAAACATATATAGTTTGTTTGTAGATTATGGCGTTATTTATTTTCATTAATAAAAACGAGCCTGTGAAATGTATAGGCCTAGCCTACGTTTTACATGAAATGTAGGCTATTAGTCGTGTTTGCTTATGATGCAACCGGCATCGATTTCAGCACCAGGGAACTGGACAGCTCCCCCATCATGTGAAAAACCGAACATGCCCCCAACGACGCTCTTAGCTATCGCTCTTACAGTTCATTGTACGTGCTTGTTTGGGAAACACTTTTAAAAAATTGGATCGTAAATAACGATATATCTGGTACGACCATCTAAATGTTTAAAGCGGCAATCAGCATTAGAAATAATAACAAAGCCATCTCCCCATCCCTGGTTCGTTAAAAAGCTGAGGGATGGGGCTGGAGAATTGATAAGCTACACTCTCAAATTCATAGACAGAGCTTTGGATGCAAGGACTGACCATCCATGATATCAAAATTATAGTTTTAGCCATGTTTTGAGGCTATAAAGTGTTTCTTAAAAAGAAATGTGTTTACAAAGTTGGAGAAAAACATGCTTATATTTTGGGTTCTCATGGGGTATGACAGTTGAACTAAGCTCATGATGCATGTATAAGTTATATTCTTAAAGAATCAATGGGTATCTTTTTATTACTTTTTACATTTGAGTCATTTAGCAGATGCTCTTATCCAGAGCGACTTACAGTTAGTGAGTGCATAATTTTTTTTTCATACTGGTCCCCCGTGGCAAACGAACCCACAACTCTGGCGTCGCAAACGCCATGCTCTACCAACTGAGCTACACGGGACTATTAGAATGTTATTTTCTTTTAACAGGGGTTACATAGACAAGCAAACAAAGTGCACCACACAGACTGAGTACTATAAAAGGAATAAGGATACAGCAAAACATTATACAAAAAGGCAGTAATAAAATGGAAAAAATATATACAAAAATACAAACATCACAATTATAACATGGAGCATTTATGGGAGGTTTTCTACATAGGACCACAATGGAGACCAGATTTTCCCAAATGTATTAGACTTCTGGTGTAAATCAAAGGTACGTTTTTCTAGGGGTAGAATAGCAGAAGCTTGAGAAAGCCACATTCTCGCAGATGGTACTTCAGGTGTGGACCATAATAACAATATAAATTTTTTGGCTAAGTAACAAGGGTATTGTACAGACGTTCAGAGTCAGGGTCAAACACAACGTTACAATCAAAGTAGAGCAAATATAAATTTGGTGAAAAAGCTAATTGTCTACCCAAGACCTTCTGGATGTGTAAATGAATATCATTCCAATAAGACTGGATTCTGCTACAGTACCAAACAACGTGCCAGTATCCTGTTTACATTTGAAACATAAATGTGATGCATTGGAAAACATTCTGTGAAGGCAGACAGGTGTAAAGTAGGTTCTATGAAAAAAAATTGAAATGTAGTTATTGTATGCTTATGGAGGTGAATTTGGGGTAGACCCTGTCGTGTCTGTTGTTGGTGGCTATTGCTGTCAACAAGGAGTCCGCTTAGGCTGCACTGTGATTAGAGGCTTTTATTAATATCACACGTTTACAGCATAAGTGACAGATGTCATGACACCCGGAGAACGGCGTCCCAGATTGCAATGGCCGTTCTGCCCTCTCTTGGTCTAGCCCCTACTTATAAACAATGCAAAAAGATGGGTGCTCCCTCTTCTGGCCAATCACCAGTCTCCCCTGGGGCGTCACCCTCCAAACGGCTACATTTGAACTAAGATCATAAAAACATTTAACAAAGGCATAATCCTAATACACGACATTTCCCCCCTTCGAGACGAACTAAAAGTCTCGAAAACAAACAGAATAGGATTATGACAAGTAACAATTTATCTTATTGAGTATCTTTAACATTAAACCAAAAAACATTCTTCTCTAGAGTGTATATACCTTTCTATGAAATATGAATAACTGTTTATGAAGTGTGTATACATTACTATGAAATATGAACAAATCTTTATGGAGTGTGTATACATTACTATGAAATATGAACAAATCTTTATGGAGTGTAAGAGCGAAAAACTGTCCGGCAACCTTCGTTCCAAATCCATCCATCAATCAAGACAGTAAAATTATCTCACGGTCCCTCTGCCCCAGGCAACCACCTCGGTACTCCAGATAAACTCATAAACAATGTAAATGCATTTGAAACTATGATGCAATTAAATACACATGTAAGCCCCTGCAAACAAAATCCTATCCAAAAAATATCCACTCTAAGGCTGGTCAACCCATTGGACCCTATAGTGGACCTCTCCCTGCCTAGACTCCGAAATAAAATCAACGAAATAAACAAAAACATCTAAGATCCCCACATGTATTCAATAACATCAAATATCATTCTACAAAAATTAATACGTAAGAGTATGACACAAATTATGTATTACACATGAAATATGTCTATATTTCATTGCAGACACTGGAATGTAGTCCACTACATTTCATCTTCCCGTAGTCTCGACTTCCAATGGATTGTTGATGATGGAATCGGAATCTTTCCACACCCTCTTTGTTTCATCTCCTCCAGTCATTGTCATTTCACATTGTCCTTGTTTGAGTATTTCAATCTCTACATGTTCCCCCAAATGCTTCTGGAAGAAAAGAAAAGACCAAACAGTATCTTTTGCAAAACAACACTTTCAAATTAAACATCAATATCAACTAAGAATATAGAAATGATATATAAATGATGTATGAATCACATTAACCCACTTCCCCCCTTTGATTCATAAAATCATACTAAAATCACACTAATACTGAAAAAAATTTTTTTTTGAAAAATGATC